AATTATTTGCAAATTGATAGCAACGACTAAAAATGGCCTAAAATTATGGATAATTGCTCACGAAATCATATTTTCTAAAATCGTGAATTTTTGACTCCACGAAATTATTTCTCAATGTATCAGAACGACAAAATTAGCTAAAAATCATGGGTTATAGGTTGTGAAATTGTCAATTATTTACGTCATGCAATAATTTGCCATTGGATGGAAAGGAATACAAATGGAAAAGTCGTGAGGTAAAGCTCATGAAATCTTGAATTCAAGCCATCAAAAAATTATTTGCCAATGGACAGAAACTCATAAAATCATGAATTTAAGATTTCATGAAAATTATTTGCTAATGGATAGAAACAAAACTAAAAATGGCTTAAAATCGTGGATTATAGCTCATGAAATCATGAAATTTTAACTTTTATAAAATTATTTGTCGAAGATTATAAACGACTAAAAGCGGTAAATAATTTGTGTTATAGCTCATGATATCATGAATTTTGAGCTACGCGAAATTATTTAAAGTTGGTCAAAAAGACTAAAAATAATCTAAAATCGTGAGTTATAGCTCATAAAACAATAAAATTTAGCATCCGTAAAATAATTTGCTGATGATGAGAAAGGATTAAAACTTGACAAAAATCATGGGTTATAGTTCATGAAATAGTAAAATTTGGCCTCTACGGAATTATTTGCTGATTGGTAGAAGCAACTTAAAAAAAGCAAAAATCATGGGTTATAAAATCATAAATTTTGGACTTCGTGAAATTATTTGCTGAAGGGTAGAAACAACTAAAAATAGCTAAAAATCATGAGTTAGAACTCATGAAATCGTGAATTTTGGCCATCGTGAATATTTCAATGGATAAAAACGACTAAAATAGCCTAAAACTGTGGGTTATAGGCTATAGCTCATGAAATTTTTAATTTTAAACTTTGAGAAATTATTTATTGATGGGCAGTAACAACAAAAAATGACAAAAAACGTTGGTTATAGTTCATAAAATTGTAAATTTTAGAATGCGTAAAATTATTTGCGATGGATAAAAATGACTAAAAGTAGCCTAAAATCGTTGATTATAACTCATGAAATTGTAAATAATATTGCTAAAATTTTTGTAATTAATTATGAGTTGATAAATGACTATAACATGTAATTTTTTGCTAGTATTTTTAGGTGCAAGAGATTTTACCGGGCATCAAAGGAGAAGTTGATGGGTCACTCTTGCCGTTGATGTGGAGGATATTTTTGCCGCGGTGGGAGAACAATGTGGACTTTGCTATGCTTCGAAATTGCGCAGGTTGCGATCATTTGATGCCAACTTTATTCTTGGAGTGGTAAGTTAATAAAATTACTTGACATCTTTTTCTAGATAACTGTGCTGCTTTTCTTTTATTTTGTATTGATAACGTTAATTATTTTGATGTAACAGTAACATTGCTTAATTAGTCCTCTTATTATCCAATAAGAGATATTAGCATGTTAATTGTACAAGATTCAGTATCAAGAACTTATTTCAAATTCAATGAGACAAAGAGATGAACTGTAGATCAACAGGCTTAAAGTGAACTAAATGCATGGACACAGGCAAGATAATTGATTTTCAAGGAAGAACATATTACAAGGCTAAGGTTATAGATTTTTTTTTAACAGACATAGGTCAACTGCCACACAAACTCAACCCCTCGGATGTCATCTAACAAAATCTCATGGAGTTTTGTTGGCACGTCATCTATCAAGGAACAACACTTCTGCTGGATCCTAGTGAATTTGCTACAAAATTAGAAGCCATATTTCCTTCTCTAAAGGTATGAGAAACTTTAGTCAATTGAATAGAATTCAGCGTAGCGGGCACATCCTCGATCAAAATCATGGCGGTGTTGAGCTCGATACATCCAGTGATCGCCTGAATAACGGCTAAGGTGATAGTTGAAACTTGTATAACCTCTAGAGTACCAAACTGTTCATGAAATAACTGTGCCAACTCACATGCTTGGTTCCAGTCAAAAAATAAAATAAAAATTCCATACTATGCCATAACTCTTATTCCATTTTCATGCCATTATGTTCTTATTAATCTTGGCAAGTCGGCATTTGTTGCTAATTTTATCTCTTCTTTGATCAGGAAGACATCTACAACTTAACCAAGGGCTTTCTGGCCAGCAACATCAATGGGTGGCGGTCACCTTGCTTCAGCATATTTCCTGAACAAATTATCTTCTGGAGATGTTTCGATCAAAGAAAATGTGACAGGATGTGCAAGATCAGGCAATCCCATAATGAACAGTTGCTGTAAACATGTTATAGAATTGATAACGAGAAATTGGAAGAAGGAATGGGAGATTGAACCAAGAGTTCCCTGCGAGCATCAGAACTGTGGTAGAGTTGATTATGTTAGAATTATAAGCTACTGGGTAAACAATAATCAATTGCCGAGAGACTTCTGCAGTTCAATTTGTCGGTGGAGTTCTGAGCGCGACAGCGTCTTTGGAAAATTTTGAAGAGCATGTTTAGTTCACCGTCGTGGTTTTTCTTAAACTAAATATTTTCAGTAAAGCATTTGATGTCAAAGTTTCGGAGTAAGCAGTCATTTTGTGGTAGTTTATTTTTCTTGAGTTTGTAGGAGAGAAATCAGAATGTTTTGATAAATTAGTTATTCCAGGGTATGGTATTTCCCTTTTCATTTAATCTGACTTCAGTGTTTTGCTCTGATTTATGATTCTTCTTTATGCCTTGAGCACGCAAAAAACTTTTCTTCTTTTATTTTATGACGGTTGAAGGAGTTATTCATTTTATTTTATTTTATTTAGTTGAGAAAATGAAGGAGTATGTAGCTCTATATTTATCAATGTCATAAATCTTTATGATCTGTAATCAGTACTAGTTTGTAAAAAAAACAACCACCATGCTACTTAACAAGGACATGAAAAGGAAAAAACTATATTCACCCTTATTTTTAGTTTTTATGCCTTTTATAGATTTTAAATAAATAAATATATTTTTCTTTACTAAAAAATGTAATTTTCTAAATAAATATCGGAAAAAGCAGAAGATGGTTATCCTATATTTAAACTTATTTTAGAAAATCCTATGTGCAAATTCCCAAACTAATTTGGAGCGAAAAAATTGAGTTATTAATATATCGTTAAATAAAGTGTTGTATGCATTACATCTATAATGCAACTAGTATTTATATAGAAAGATTCACTATCCTAAATTTTAAATATCACCTTCGCATTAGAAAAAGTACAACATTACTTAATCTATGAAAAGACATCAAAACTAGGAGTTATAATTTGCTATCCATCTATATTATTATTTATTAGAAGAAATCTCCCTTTTAATTTGTCTGGACTATTTTTCAAATTCCGATAATGCCCTTGTATTTGGGACATTTGAATATGTCCTCACACGCTACAAAAACTAGCAGCAGTGCCCTTAATGTCTGAAAAAATCAATCGTAATGCTCTCAAACTTTAAAAAAGTTAACTAACTATCCCAGATTCTTTGTTATGTACGCATCATGTGCATCATAATACTAGTTTCCTACTAAGACAAGGCAGTCCTTAATGAGTATAATTTTTATTTGTCTGGTTTACTTGAAGTCATAATTCTTATTACCAGATTAGAACTTATATGGAAATGCATGTCATCCTTCCATATATACTTTTTGTTCAAATTAAAGTTTCATAAAATCATTTCAAGAACGAAACTCAAAATCTTTGTTTGTAAATACCCCCATATTGCTCATATTCCTCACAAACAATACTCAGTGCGAGAATCCAAAAACCCTCTTGTTCTTCTCCTTTTATTATTAACCGTCATCAAAGATGATGAAACTCAAGCTTAGTTCCAAGGGATGAAGAAGTCGGACAAGAAAAAAATCCATTGTTCTTTCTCTCCGTCAAGATCTCATTCTTAAAGTAGCAATGCAAGTTGCAGCGAAGTCCTCAAACCCTCTCGAGGATATCCGAAGCGTAAGAGCATCGTACATGGTAACTTTAAATTCTAAACATAATTAACAACATATCAAAAGTTTTTATTTATGAGTTGATGCATTGTTTTTTTTTTCGTTTTAGGTGCAAGAGCTTCTGGCGAGCATCGAAGGAGAAGTTGGTGTGTTGGTTCCTCGCCGTTGATAAGGAGAGTAGGATGCAGTGGTGGGAGAAGGATGCGTATCTGGCTCTGCTTCAAAATTGCACAAACTGCGACAACCTTAACACCAACTTTGTTCTTGGGATGGTAAGTAAATAAAATATTTTTACAATTATTTATTATTTAATCCTATAATTTGGTGACGGGTTTTCTTCTGACTGATATTTCCTTTCATCAGGAAGAGCCGTACAACTTAAATAGGGCGAATTCAGGCCTGCAACATCTCCACCACGCAATGGATGGCGGTCACCTCAATGCAGCCTATTTCATGGGGATGGTGCTGTTCCGTCATGGGGCTGGTACACGATCCGATGCTACGAAAATCCTAAACAAAGTCTCGTCTGGAGATCTTTCGAGCAGATACAATGATAGAAGTAGCGACGGCTGGGTCAAGGACGATCAACGGCCAAGAGCCTTCTGCAGTCAAGTTTGTCGATGGACTTATGAGTGTCACCTCTTCTTTCGGAATATTTAAAACGATTGCCTATTGGCAAGATTTTGATGTTTCTCTTGAGGTCGTAGAAAATAGAGACAGCAATTATGTAATTTGATTATTCTGATATATAGTAATTCCGTTTTCCTTTTGAAAGTTTATTCGACTTCGATGTTGATCAGTACTGAAGCTTTGCCTGCTGTTGTTCCTCCGACGTCTGAGCCTGTAGGAACCTTCATCCGTGCGTCGCTGAATTTTGTTAGTTTTGCAAGACTGACAACAAGCCCATCTATAATATAGCCTACATAACTGCAAACTTGCTTTCTGATAACTATAATAATCTATTTGTATGAGCAATCATTGAGTAAATAGCCAGGGAGCAGAAACTAGTGTACTTCTAATTTGAATAAAAACACGTTATAAAATTGAAGAGCAAAATACATTTTTTATAGCTACAGTAGAATCTCAGTTTTTCTATCAAATGGTACGAGGGTATACAAGAGCAAACAGAAAGAAAATAATCTTATAGTTGAATTTCATGAACATGCTACAGTAGAATCTCAAGCAACCTCAGAAAGAACAGATGCGGCGACTCTCTTCAATGATTCTGATGCTTTCATCAGATCAGATTCAGAATGACCCGCAGAAACAAACATCTTGATGCCTACTGGAAGTCGGCATTTGTCTAGCTTTGATCTCTTTGTGGACACAAGGAAAACTGAATCTTCATTTAAGACCTGCATTATGTTCAAGGCAACATTCAGTGTTCAGTCATTTAAACTAGCACTGAAAGTCACTTAAACCCCCTGAACTTGTGTGTTTGCGTGTGTTGCTTTGTGTTGGTGTTTTCAATAAACTCGGTCACATGCTTGGCAGCCGTCAAAGTTAGCAGTGTTACTTAGGTGTGCTTTTTTATGGTGGGCGCTTGGAGAGAGGGAGGGGGGTTAGTATGTGAGCAAGTTCAGGGAGGAGGTTAAGATGAAAAAAAAATAAAGTTCAAGGAGTCATATTGAAAAGCACCCAAAGTTCAGGAGGGGTCAGTGGAATAAACCCTCTAAATTATGACCTAGAAGCTTACCCTATCAACAATTTTCTCAAGGAGTTTTAGGTCGCTCTCGTGGGATCCTGTTGGTTTCTTCAGTTGTAGGAGCACAATGGGTGATTGAGGATCGCTTGTCAGAGTCAATCCTGGTACATCTGATAAACCTGCATTTTTTGTAGTCAATTAGAGGACAAGTGAGAGAAGTATTAAATTTTGATGTAAATGAGTAACAGTGATAAAAGATGCAGTGGCAAGTATATAATTAAAAGTAAAAATTTTAACTCATGGTACTTACCTTTCCGTAACAAGGCAATATTGTTTCTCAATGATGCAAGTATAGAAGGATTTTCCTCCAAGCGATCAACTGCAGCAATTGCAGCAGTAGCAAGATAAGGGGGTAAAGATGCAGAAAATACATAGCCAGAACTACTGAGCCGCTGCAAAGACAAAGAGCAATCGGTTAAGCTACCATCAATTATAAGCATGTAATAGTCCATTCAATAAAATCTGGAGTGAATGTCAAGAAATATACATAAGCATGTAATAGTCCATTCAATAAAATCTGGAGTGAAAGTAAAAAATATATCAATGAATTGTAATCATACTTGGTGGTCGACGACCCTGACACCTCCTGTGCAAAATCCTCCGTCAGTGGCCAGTGCATTTCCCATACCAGCAGTTATTATATCAATCTTCTCAATCTACAAGAACACAGTAGTCCCTCGAACATTAGGAATTTAAATTGAAAGCAAAGTGGCAGCAGTAAGTAGAGTTAAAATTGCAAGACCTACCGGCACCCCATAGTGTTCGGCAAGACCACGTCCAGAATTTCCAAGTACACCAAAGGAATTGCTCTCGTCCAAAATAACACGAAAACGGTATTTCTCTTTTAATCTGACAATCTCATCTAATGGGGCTACTTTACCCGAATTCTGCGTAAAGAACATTTATATTTGAAGTAAGAATATGGGTAGAAACAAATAAAATAAAATTGATACATAACTAAATTTTATCTATAAACAGATGCCAACTGTTTGATGAAGGTATACAATGAGATTAAAAAATTATACATCTGGTATGAATAATATAGGACACACTTTGATAAGTTTTTAGATTAACATCATTTGAACTTTAAACTAATATCAGTATACAAATTTTCTTTATATCATACATAGGTATAACCAAGTGCATTATCCATACTCCCTATGTACATACGGGCGAAATTAAGTTACATCCAGTTGATTATATAAATAAGTTCATTAGATGAAAGAGTAAACTGGAAATTGATAGGGGAACCAAGCTGGGGGTTTTGGGGCCATTAAAAGTGCAGCGCCTGAATAAGGAATGCCTATGTATTATTTGTTGGTTACTTACTGCCTGAACTTATTATGGCAGGTCTTATACATTTATTATGAGAAACTTAATGATTTGATGCATACTACTTTGATGATTTAATAAATCTACTCTATGTATAAAAAGAAGCTTACACAAAGATTGATACATAAAAGGAAATCTGTATGGGCCCATCAGTTTTATGTTTTCAGCAATAAAATTGTATTACTAACAAGCAGGAAGTTTGAAATTTTGCAATAACATAAATTCTAAAAGTTTAAAAGGTGGATTAGTTTGGGATCCAAAATCAGCACAAAAAACTGAATCTCTCAATTGCCTACACCAAACTTCATAAAAGAAACAAGTAGACACAACATGTACAACACTCCAATACCAATATACGACTAAACAGAACCAACAGAGGATGGAGCATGCACCAACTAAATTAACCTAAGGTTAATATTTAAAGGAGAAAAAGGGAAAGCATACTTTTGTCTATACCTACAGGAGAAGAATTGCTGAACATTACATGGATATTCATATTGATCCTTCTTAGAATATTTCCTTTCTAGGAGGGTAAAATTTTAAAATTAGCATTGCTTAAGAGAAGCAATAATGGACAAATCTATGGCTCCTCTGCACTAATCAATCAAAGCAAGACAGCATATACAAGAGGCCATTTCAATGCAAACATAATAACCCAATGTGTAAGATAATTCAGCGTCATGTTAGTAGCTTATGCAGTAAATCCTATACTTCAATTATTAGTTTTACACAAATAATGTTAAACTAATAAATGTACATATCAGCAGATTCAGCACTGTTGCGGAATTGTGCAGGAAAATATATCAAAGCAGAATTTGTGAAATATAACTTCACCCTATATGCAAAATCTCAAAAATATGACTGTTTCAATAAAATGAAAGAAAATATGTGAACATTTCTCTCTACAAACTTTTCATATTATAAAACATTCCCAAACCATTGAGATATTTAGGGGGAAAAACAAGGTGTGATTTGGGACAAATAGGAATCAATCATGAAGTGATAGGTTTCAACACCAGAAATGAATTTAATGAAGCTTTAAAACAAACTAGCAGAGGAAACTGATTGAGGCAGTTATGCTTTGACACCAATTCAATGGCTTCCAGTATAACTGTTCTCTTTACAAATAACAGTAGGAATAATCAGATTGGAAAAAACAAACAAAATTATTGTGTGAATTGCTAGTGTTATGAGCATAAAATGGTTCAATAGTCCCTGCAAAATAAAGAGGGGAGAAGTTTTCTGTTTGACATGCAACAATTAGGTGCCTCTTCATTACCTTTTAATAAAAATGGATGTTACCATATTACAAACATGTTTTACATTACAAGAAGTGAAGGTTATATAAGCAGAGTCATATTCAAAGCAGAGAAATGTTTTTTTTAAGCACTTGACTTAAATTTCGATATATTTTTATTTTGAACAATTTTTGCATACATATAACACTTTAGCTGCAGTAAGAAAATTTGGAACTTTTGTCTCATTCTTAGAATAGAAGGAAATGAGAAATGTGATAGTAAATTCCACCTGGTATATTCCTTCAATAACAAGGTAGCGTCGCATCTTTTCTGCTCTCTTGTTCCCTCTAGTAACCTTCTCTAGGGTGTTTGCAAGTGAGGCCATGTCATTGTGCTTGAAGTAAACAACAGTGCTTCTAGAAAGATGTAGCCCATTTTGCACTGCCCAGCTAACACCCTCATCTCTGAAAGAGAAAATAAAACAATTCAATATTTTCCAAACAAATCTCTTGTTTTGGTATATCTGATGCACAAAGATTAGCAGTACATGGGCATAAGCAATAAAAAGGACATGATATAGTGAGAAATGGATGGACTCAAGCACATGCCTCCTTACGAAACATGGATAATGATCATATGATTTTCTTTTCCAAAGCAATAATAAATCATGAGAAGTAGCACTGGTATTGGTATTACACAATAAATATGATAGCATCTTCTGATATATGAATTGTTACAACAAGACAGCAATTGCATTCATAAAGTAATAGCTGAAATAAGGAATCAAAGAAAGAGCAACTTATATGCATGCATCTCAATAAGTTTGGGGCTTGTCAAGTAGTCAATCTTATTTTTGGACTGTGAAATTCAGTTGAGGAGCAACAGACTGATATGGTTACACTACCAACTTAAGAAAGAGAAAAAAAAACACACAAATGGGTATGCACTGTAAGGAGAGAAAAAAACGTAGAAAAACATAATTGATGAGAGATCAAAACACTCAAAATAAAAAACATAAAAGATAAAATAATCCCAAATTATATATAAAATTTCGTGAATGTTTAAGATGAATTAAAAGGTTATGAGTTTTTAGGTTGAATTTCATAAAACCTCCCGTGACTAAAGTGAAAATGCGTTGAGCAATACAGACTATTTTTTTCCAACAATCAGATTTTTCATTTTTCTAGTAATTTTGCAGCCAAACTTTCTACATAGTTTGCAATAGAAAAATCTAGAACAATGTAATTCTTCAATTGAAAATATAATAGAGAAAAAGAATAGCCGTCCACTCAAAATTAAAGCAACATCAAACTCACGCAACAATGATATCTCCCTTCTTCGCAAAAGCTGGAATCACACTGAAAATTGTCGAGATGCCATAAGAGTAGAGGACAGCATCTGGGGTACCTATAAACTTCGAAATTCTGGATTCACAATCAAGGTGGACATCTGCAGAACAAAGTAGGCCATCAATAAACACTGGGTTTTGATGGAGCTTTACATTTCAAATAAACACAAATGCAAAAACGTAATAGGAGTGGAAAAATATCTTACCAATAGTCCCATAGAAACCCCGAGGACCACAAGATCCAACACCGTATTTCTCCAATGAAGCAATGCATGAATCCTGCAATGCATTGTATTAGGATACATCCTGAGAAGAAACAACACAAAGTAGCAGTTCAAATGGAGAAAGTTCTCCCTCACATTTATTTTTTCATTCCCTAGCAATCCAAGATAATTTCCTGATGCAAAATTCACAACTTCTTTCCCATCAATTATGGTATGAGGCCCTGCAGCACTGCATGAAACAACTCAATCAGTAATAACATAATACTGCCAATAATGCATGTTTCATAACAGGAATAAAATATGCTATCTATTTATCATCAGCAATTTGAATCCTAATGATGGTCAGTAATCAAACATATGCAATATGGCTGTCCTAGTTGATTACCTCAGTGGACACTATTGATTTTCAAGAGTCTGTCCCTTATCTAAGTCAAACAAATATTTAGAATCTTGAAGAAGTAGAGAGAATTCTATAAACATTCACCAAGAGAAACCCGCTAAAAGAAAGATGACTTAGTAAAAGAAAGGAACAAACTCAGGGATCATCTCATTCGAATATACAACAAAACTGTGTGTATAAAGTGCAAATGTTAGTTGATTATTGTTTTTTGACAGAAGCAATATCTTATTGCATACAACACCAGCTATCGTGCATAAATTGCATGCAAATACATGATTTCAGGAGATCGAATATGTGAGAGGCACGCGCATGCGTGCGCGCGCACACAGAGAATTCAGGGTCGTCTAAAGGACGCAATTTGTGACCACGCTTTTCCAGTCATAAACAATACAAGAAGACAAGCTCACTAGGACACACAGTATAAAACACTGTTGTTTTGTTACATAATCCAGCATGCACCCATCATGTTCAAATTGTACGCACAAGTGCCTAGTGATGATGAGTAGAAAGTTATTTCGTCAAGTATCTAAAACACCGGAACACTCAAAAGTCCAAACTTAATTCGAATCGTTTGTTCATGCAAGGATATCCTCCCATTTACAACTGATACAAACATTAGTGATAGCATACAATCCATTTTCCTGACTTTGGTTTAGGGAAGGCAAAAGTCATTTGAACTAATATATACATATATATGTGTGTGTGTGTGCGCGCGCGCGCATTAATTACTTATTTGCATATGTGTGTACATACATACATACATACATATACATTCACATGGTTAGAGAGTGCATGAGAATGAGACACATCACGACCAAGCACAAAACTTGTGCTTGGTACCAAGTTCCTCCATATAGCTCATATGTATGTATGCATGTATGTATATAACATGTAAATTACTTTATTTATAAAGAATGCATATTTGTTACTTAACAAGATAAATGCAATGGAGTTTAGTTATTTTTGCTGATCTTTTTTCCCTAATAAAGCTCTAAATGAAGAAAATATCAAAACCATAGAATTAGAACTTCGCATAGTAAAATTATATTTCACCTTTCCAAAATTGGAGGATCTGCCTCCATCTCTTCTGTGATAGGGGGATGAAGAGGTTCTGGTACCCACTCATCACAAAGATCATCTATTTCCTGCAAAACAATACAAGATTGAGTCTTAATTCCAACAAAATAATTTTAATGGTCAAAAATTGAGAAATCAATCAAAGCGTGAGCATGGCTAGCTATCAGATAACAACAAAACCAATAAACCTTCTCAGTCAATGGCTTCTTCGGGGGCTTGTAACTCTTCCTCGAGAGTTGGAACAATATAACAACAATCAGAAGCACTTCAACAACCAAATGCCCTTCAAATTCAAGAAAATCAAACAAATCTCAATATATAACTACTTCAAACAAAACAAAATCAAAGATAAACCATGACCAAACAAAATTCAAAGAACCCACCATCAATATGAACCCCAAAAACGACTGCACGCGCCATCGGAGCATTGATTTTCGCCGACACCCAATCCAACCCAGCTGCGGTCATGTTCATAACGCCGGAATCCATCGAATGTCGCGCCCAAAGACACCCCTTTTTCTTATTTTCGACACCTGGGTCGGAATTGGAATTGAAAAAAGCGGGGGAAACCCTAAATTCCTTCGATGGGTCAGATCGAATCGATTGGAGAAAGGGGGGGAGTGAAGTCTCTATATATAAATTTCAATATCAAAGAAAGAGGAAGATAGATTCAAATCTCAATCGATGGAAGAGAAAAACGAGAGGGTGGGTCAATTTTGGGGAGCGAGAAGGTGAAACGAGAAGTCAAACAGTGTGAGCTCATGAGAAAAGACGAAAATGCCCCTGAAGTTGGGACGGGGATACGGGGAAGTCGGAGGTGGTTAATGAGGGGGGAGAGGGGCTTTTGTGGAAGAGGGGGCGGAGATTAAGAGGTGATGAAGAGGTCTTTCATATTATATATTGTTTTTCTTTTCCTTTGGGAATTCATTCCGTTATTTAAACCACGCGCTTAGTTTTAGCCTTTTTGGGCTTGACCCGGCTTCATTTGACCCATGGAGAGGGACAGCATGATAAGGCCGAAATCGTCGTGGTTTTTTCTTTTTTCTTTTAAGCAACGAAATTGTGATGTAAAATAATAAAATAAGTATTCTGCTCGTCTAAGTTTTGTTATATTTTTAAGAGCACGATAAATTTCTCATTAGTTTTAAAAAGAATGGATTTAATCTGAAACTTTGATAGATTGATTTCAAAGATGCTTCTTCATCATCAAATATTATTAATTACATGCTATTGACAACTAACGCTATTAATGTGGAAAGAAAATAACTAGATATCTATATTTATTTGTTTTTCGTAGCACCTATATATCCTAAAGAAACTTATAGCCTATTTGTTTTCTTTTGCCCTTAGAAAGAAAACCCTTTTTCTAATGCACGAAGCACTTTTTAGTCACTTTCTTGATGTTTTCAACTTTTATATTGTTTGTTTCGTATTTTTTTCATGTGTGAATGACCATTTCTTATAAATTCAATATTTGGATGAACTTTTAAAAAGACGAAACAACCATTTATAAAAAAAAGTAGAGATAAAAAAATGAGTTGGCAAAAAGCTTACAAAGCTACTTATGAAATGATATTTCCAAGCCAAATTGCTCTGAAATGATATTTCCTTAAATGCAGGATACTTTTTGAGTTTTTTTTTTTTTTTTTTGGTGGGGGGGGCATCCTAAAATTTTTGTTAAACTAACACATGAAAAATGAAGCTTTTTCCTGGTGATACGTTTTAGGTTTTAGGGGAGGAAAAACATCCTATAAATTTTGTTAAACTAACACATGAAAAATGAAGCTTTTATAGAAAAAGGATAACTTTCGGTTAGGAGTCAATATCCAAGAGTTCACGCCTCAACCGGAGCGTGACAAGCCTAGAAGTCGTGTTTCCGCTCTTTGCCACTTAAAACAAACAGGCCCTTAAATAATCTTAAATTTGCATAACTGTGGGTATTTAATGGCAATTAAGTCAGCACAGAGGTTGTCGAAAAAATAGTGTTGGCGCTGAACAAACTCGGGTTGGACCGCGGATCCAGCAGAAGAGTACATGCATGGGCCAGGATTTAACTGGGCTTTCGATGGTAGCAGGCTGTGGCTCTTGTTATTAGCGTCTCATACTTTCCTTCAAAAATATCAACGATGTTTAAAGATCCTTTTGAGTTTTGCATACCATCAAACATGGTTACAATCTTGATACAGACACATGACAGAGAACCCTCTTCTCATAAACCATTGTTATTGTTATATGAGTAATATGGGTATGCTTGGTACCAAGCACAAACTTTGTGCTTGGTAATGATGTGGCATAATCTCCTCCATTCATTCAAATGGGGGACCACATTCACATGGGTTGAGGAGTGCATGGGGATATGCAATCATTTGAATGAGTTGAGGGGATTATGTCACATCACTTCCAAGCATAACTTTTGTGCTTGGTGTTGGGGATGCACAATCCCCCTGATGCGATTTGGAAATAGAGATTTAGGAGAGAAGAGAGAAAATCAAACAATCTCAAACACACAAGATTTACGTGGTTCGCTTCTCAATGTGAGAAACCACGTCCACGGCCGCCGCAGGAGAAAAATTCACTATTTTTCGTCACTTTACATCATGCCCTAATCAACCCTTTTATAGACTTAAGGGTTTAACCAATAAAAAAGGAAACAGAACAAAACAGATTAAAATTCGAAACTGAGCCAAAACCCGACTCCGGTCGACCGCCGCACCACGTGCGGTCGACCGCGACGAATCCTATTCCTGATCGAGCTCTCTGGACTTTGGGCGGTCGACCGCAGCGTCATGCTCGGTCGATCGCGATGAGCTCCTGGCCTGTGCACCCAGCTGTGCACGACGTCGGTCGACCGTCGCGCCATGCCCGGTCGACCGCGATGTAGAAAACTGTCTCCTTCGTCGTTTTTACTTGAACTTCTCCATCGTCGATCATGTTCCTCCTGTTCCAACTTTGTTCCTCCTCTCTTCTGAAGTATAGGGCATGCTTGATAGTTAGGCTTCACATATCCTAACACTTGGTACCAAGCATACCCATTTTTCTCTTGTTATATTAGTCGATATATTGGACCTAAACTGAGTATAACCAGATATATTTTCTCCCTGTCAGAAGCACCTCCTTGATTACTCTCCAATCCCTCATTCATCACACAAATACCTACAATTCGTCTGTTGATCTCCCTAAAAAGGATGACATATATAACACCGGCACACCTGAGCTCATACTCTCCAATATCGTAGAATTCCATCCACGATGTGCCAAGAATCCTCCAACAGATGAACGCTTAAGAACTTCATCTTGTGGGCACCAACTAGCGAGGAAACCTCTCCCTTCGACCTCACTCGAAAACTCTTTCAGTAAAACTGCTGGATCGCCATTCACAATATTGATGATGATTCGTTAAGAACTGCGGGTTCAAGTTCGTCGAATGTGTTTAGAATGATAGCAGACGCTCTAGAAGCTGCTCGAACCTCGGTTCTGAAGTGCGTGGAAGATTTTTTTTCGTGTTGAAGGATGTTTGGGAGGTCTTCGACTCGCATGCTTTTGATCATTCCAGGTATCCAGTCGATCGGAGTGCCAAGATATGCGTTGCTGAGATCGTGTTCACCTAGTTAACGATCACGAATGTAACAAAATTTAGGAGCACGATAAATTATTATTGATGTGCAAAGTAGAGGCAAATATCAATTTCATATTTGGCAAAAGATTGTCCTCCTATAGTTTTTACGAGTACTGATTTGTTTCTCCAGTAGCCATAGGAATAAAACCAAATTAAAACAAATTTGCCATCTTCTCTGTTTCTTCTTTGCAATTAAAGATACTACGCCTGTGAGTTTTGCTTATCATGATAATTGTCAGGTGATTTTTCATCAGTGATGGGTCCTAGTTTCAGTGGCCGGTCTGTCTTGCTAAATCTTTGCAAACTAGTTAAAGTAAGATCCCCCCCCACCCACACACACACACAATTTATCAGGGCCTAAGTCTTATTGCGATTATCATCACAGCAAATTTCAACAAGTATATGGTGAGAATTGAAGAATATATCAAATTCGAACCCGTTAAGGGATCAACTCTACAGTATGACTGAGCCGTGAACGTGTGATGATGTAACCTGCATCTTTCCTCCTTAACTGTGCACGTCATCTAAATAACAAAGAGAGAACTACTTGGCGTAAATTTGAACAAACAAACAAACAAATAAATAAATAAATAGTCTTCAACTACAAACAATAACCAATAAAAAGTTTCAATGCAAATGAAAACGAAAACTATTTCGTACATATTGTTTGGTGCTACTATCCGGCCTCGTCGGATGAACTCTTCATACCGAAGCACTCACAGAGCAAAAGGTAAAAAAAAAAAATCAAGTATTCCAAGCTCAGCTGCAACCCCAGTTGTGAAACTAGTGAAGCTATCAGAAAGAATACAAGTCACCGGAGGAACCCCAGACGAAGGCTCATTTAGCTTTCTCACAAGTTCACCAAAAGGCTCAGCAAAATCATTGTGAATATATAGATTCGATAAAGGAAAGAACATCGTCATACGATCAGGAATTATCTAAATTTTGAAATCATCGGAGCCTTGGAGAGAGGTCGGAGAGCTGCTGGTGAGTACTTTAGGGGCTGTTTGGTTGTATGTTTTTACCATGTAAAAGGATGGAAAGTGTAAAAAAGTGGGTCCCAATGTCAGCTTTCATCACTTTCAATTGTTTGTTTGTAGTTGTGAAAATAGTGTAAAATGATTTCATATGCTGATGTGGCTTGTAAAGTGATTTCATAAAAAAAAGACATGATTTTAGGAGAAAGCTGACATTGAAGTTAGAAAAAAATAATAAAAAATAATTTCAACCAATATGATCTTTTGAGTAGGGACCACTTTTTACACTTTCCAAACAAACAATTAAAGTTACATTTGCAAACCAAACAAGCAATTTATGATTCCAATGGAATCAAAAACAAACAAAGAAAAGTATAAAAGTAAAATTGATGAGGTGGACAACAACTTTCCAAGTTGCGTCATAAATACACAACTTTACCAACAACAACCAAACAGCCCCTTATGGTAGCCTAGGTGGATTCAGTGTAGATGAAGGTTACGTAAAAAAAAGAGTAAAAAAAAGGACTTTTCCTTAAATAGAGTAAAAAAGGACTTTTCCATAAGAAAGAATGCATGTGGAGATGAGCAGGATACGAGGACAATAAAACTTAGGACCGAAATATGAATGAAGTCAGAAGAATCTTTCTGGCGGAGACCCAAAAAAGATGGATGATCATAAAGTAATCAATCCCTCACTCGAAGAAAACTTCTAATAAAAGAGCACTTCTTTTAGTTCAGAATTCTATACAAAGAAAGAAATATAAATTTGGATAAGTTTTTTTTATCAGCCAGCATCTCCTTCAGTGTCAGTATTCCATAACCATTCCGTGTCAGTATTCCGTAGCAGGTTAATTGCAGATAGCCCCCTCTACTATCTCCCAGTTGCGGATAAAGCCCCTGCAGTTCTATTGTTACAGATAGATCCCGTGTGAATTTTTTGACACTTTTACCCTCAGGAGGTCTATTTGTCACAAAAAAATTATCTCTCTTAGGGTAAAAGAGTCGAAATTTTTTTCATTCATGGCGTCTACCTGCAACAATATACCTAAAGGGGGTCTATCTGCAAGAATATAAGGTCTATCCGCAATCGAGTCATAATGCAGGGCCTACCCGCGATTAACCCTTCTATATCAGAGACTGGTTTCTACCTCGAAGAGACAACTGCGCAGATGAGGAAATCATTTCTTGAACTGCACAATGAGTCTCACAAGACTGTACGTCTCGGCATCAGACCGTTGCTCCTCTTAAAATCATTTCCTCAGTAAATCAGTATCATAGGCCTTTGCCAGTCTTTGACCTTCCAAGGGCTTCTGTGTACATCTCACTTATTCTGTAAACTCAGCAACAAACAAAAAAGACACATTAGATCCTATTTGATGAACGGAATTTTTGTTCCTGTTACGCTTGAAGAAGAAGACGAAGTTTAAAAAAACCTTTTGAGTTTGCAAACAATCACATGTTCAATATCTATATAGAAGATACATGATAGGAAACCGTCCCTCCATCAAACCATCCTTATTATGATACTAGTCCGTGAATTGAACATAAACTAGGTAAAATCAGATGCAACTTCTCTCTTTCCCAAGCACCTCCTTGATTACTCTCTCCAAATTCAAAAACGAAGACCCGCCAACCTCGCTCGCCTTCGTAGCGTTCTCCTTCAATTTTGCTGCATTCCTCCTCATATCCTTCCCCTTTTCTCCTCCCATCAACTCCCTAATCTTTTCCGCCACCTCCTCTCTCCTCACATCATCACCAATCTCCAATCCAATCCCCCATTCATCACACAAATACCGGCAATTTGTCTGTTGATCTCCAAAATAAGGATAACATAACACTGGCACACCAAAGCTCATACTCTCCATCGTAGAATTCCATCCACAATGTGTCAGAAACCCTCCGATTGATGAATGCGTAAGCACTTCTTCTTGTGGACACCAACTAGTAAGAAAACCTCGCCCTTCGATCTCCCTTAAAAACCCTTTTGGTAAAATTGCAGAATCGCCGTCCACAATATCGGGTCTGATAACCCACAAGAAATCATGACCGCTATTTGCTATTCCCCATCCGAACTCTATCAACTGTTGGTTTTTGAAAACTGCAACACTCCCAAAGTTTATATATATCACCGATTGAGGCATTCTGTCACCTAGCCATTTTAAGCAATCATGGTCTTCTTTCCAAAAGCTAGACCTGACGTTTTTCAGTGATTTGTCAGGAATGTGATCATATAGCAAATTTAATGGGCCTAGGGTGTAGATAGGAGGAAATATTGCGGATAATCTGTTAAGAACTGGGAACTCCAGTTCGTCGAACGTGTTCATGATGATTGCTGTGGCTTGAAGAGCTGATTGCACTTCATCTTTGAAATATTTGAAGATTTTGTCTTGTTGAAGGAAGTTTGGGAGATCTTTGACTCGCATGCTTTTGATCATCCCAGGTATCCAATCAATTGAAGTTTCGAGATAGCTATTGCTAAGATCACGTTCACCTAGTTAACAATCATGAACATGATAAACTTTAGGAGCATGGTAAATTATTATTGACATGGAAAGTTGAGGCAGATATCAATTTCATATTTGACAAAGAAAAGCTTCTCGTATGGTTTTTGAGTACTAACCTATTTATCATAAGAACAAAACCAAAACTCTCTGTTTCTTATTTGAAAACGAAGAGACTACTTTTAAAAGCACAATCGTTCATCTGGGTCAAAATAATTATGAATCATTTCCGAATATAACTACCATACATGTGTCTGTGAATGGTGTTGACTTTTTCTTATAATAATCAATGATTAAGATATAATTTTTATCACTCCTAGTGCTAGAGAAAACCTGAATCCTGTTAGGTTGGGGGTGGATACCAACCTCCGGCGGCGGAGGAGCTCCGACGAGCTCCAGGATGACGCAAGCGAGCTCCGGTAGTCACAGGCGAAGCCACAGGCGGCGAGGTCCAGGCGATCTTCGGCAGCACAGGCGAGCTCTGCGTTCGCACAGCTCTGCGTTCGAGCCTCCCCCGAACTCTGCGTTCGCCTCCCCCGAGCTCTGCGTTCGCCTTCCCCGAGCTCTGCGTTCTTTTTGGCGAACCCGACCTTTGCGTCAGGGTTATTCGCTGGCGACAGGCTGTCGCCAGCCCCTCATCTCTGCCTATATAACCCCCCATCGCCTAGGGTTTTGTCGCTGCGATTCTCCCCCTTCCTCCGTTTTTCTCTCTGGCGGCTGCCCTAAAATCGCTGCTGCGATTTTGTTTTTAATCCCCAGCTCCAACAGTGATTGAAGGGGGATTTAAGAAGAGAGAGAACTAAAAAGGGTTTTATATTGTGGGGTTATTCATTTATTCTCAAGTGAGAATTGAAAGGGTTCATACCCTTTAATTATTAACACTGTAGCTACAGTGTTTATTTGAGAAATCTCAGTTTTGAGATCTGCTCCTAAATTGTAATTTCTTGTTTGATTAATAAGAAATTATCTGTGTGGCTCCCGAGGACGTAGGCAGTTGCCGAACCGCGTTAAAACTTGGTGTACTGTTCTCTATTCTGCGTTTCCGTTGCATTAGGGATTTCGGCGTTAAATTCCTAACAACTGGTATCAGAACGTGAAACGATCTAGAGAAAGTCAGATTCAAGTGAGAGCCATGGCCGCAGATGAGGCAAAAATGAGATTTGAGAAATTTGATGGAATAGATTTCGAATTCTGGAAAATGCAGATAGAGGATTATCTGTATCAGAAAAATCTGTATCAACCACTATCGGGGAAGAAGCCAGATTCTATGAAGGCAGATGAATGGAACCTTCTAGATAGACAAGTCCTCGGAGTTATCAGATTGACGCTGACTCGCAATGTTGCGTTCAACATAGCAAAGGAGAAGACCACGACAGGTCTTATGGCAGCTCTCTCAAATATGTATGAGAAGCCATCAGCCGCAAATAAAGTTCATTTAATGCGGCGGTTATTCAATCTGAAAATGGCGGAAGGCGCGTCAGTAGCACAACACCTCAATGAACTTAATACGGTTACAACCCAATTGAGTTCAGTTGAGATTGAGTTTGATGAGGAAGTTCGGGCGTTGATACTTTTGTCTTCCCTACCAGAGAGTTGGAACGCTACAGTCACAGCTGTGAGTAGCTCGTCGGGAAACAATAAGTTGAAGTTCGACGACGTTCGTGATTTGGTTCTCAGTGAGGAGATCCGACGGCGAGAGACTGGTGAAGCTACAACCTCTTCAGTATTGCATACAGAGTCAAGAGGTAAAAGTTCAACCAGAGGAAATGGATCAGATGATAGGAGATCCAAATCCAGAAATCCCAACAGCGAAGGCAGAGGTGAATGTCACCTCCACTTCAGGAGGAGACGACGCATTGATATGCTCTTTGGAGAGCAAGGAGGAATCTTGGGTGTTAGATCCAGGAGCGTCATTCCATGCTACCTCTCAGAAAGAATTCTTCGAGAAGTATACCCCCGGAAATCTTGGATACGTATATCTTGGTGATGATCAACCATGTGCTATTGTGGGTAAAGGCGTGGGAAAAATTAAGTTGAATGGGTCTGTATGGGAGCTGAAGGATGTCAGGCATATTCACGACCTGAGAAAGAATTTAATATCCGTAGGCCAGTTGGCTGACGAATGATATACCACGACCTTCCACGGAGATGATTGAAAGATCTCAAAGGGCGCAATGACGATTGCCCGAGGCAGGAAGACTGGTACCTTATATATGACAGCAGGTGCACGTTGTTCGATCTCAGTTACAGCAGGCAATGAGACTTCAAAGCTGTGGCACCAGAGACTCGGTCATATGAGTGAAAAGGGGATGAAAATCATGCACACAAAGGGAAAACTCCCAGGACTGCAGTCAGTAGAGATGGATATGTGTGAAGAATGCATACAGCTAGAGCTCGTTCACTCAGATGTTTGGGGACCAACAACCACCGCGTCCATTGGTGGAAAACACTACTTCGTGACTTTTATCGATGATCACTCTCGAAAAGTGTGGGTCTACTTTCTGAAGCATAAGTCAGAAGTATTTGAAGCTTTCAGGAGATGGAAAGTTATAGTCGAGAATGAGACCGGCCTGAGAATAAAGAAGCTCAGGACCGATAATGGCGGTGAATATGAAGACACTGGATTCAAGAAGTTCTGTTATGAGCACGGGATCAGAATGGAGAGAACCGTGCCCGGCACGCCTCAGCAAAATGGTGTAGCTGAGCGGATGAACCGAACATTGACAGAGAGAGCCAGAAGCATTCGGGTACAGTCAGGCCTACCGAAGCAGTTCTGGGCAGAAGCGGTCAACACAGCAGCTTACTTGATCAACCGAGGTCCATCGGTTCCATTGGAGCACAGAATACCAGAGGAGGTATGGTGCGGAAAGGAGGTAAAACTCTCACATCTAAAAGTTTTCGGTTGTGTAGCTTACGTGCATATTAGTGATCAAGGCAGGAATAAGCTTGATCCCAAGTCAAAGAAATGCACTTTCATCGGCTATGGTGAAGATGAGTTCGGCTACCGCATTTGGGACAACGAAAACAAGAAGGTGATCAGGAGCAGAGATGTGATATTTAACGAGAAGGTAATGTACAAGGACATGCACAAGACAGATGACTCAGAGAGCGAGTCAATATTTGTAGATGCAGATGATGTCCCGAGTAACCTCTCGGAAGAACCCAATGCAGAGGGTCCTCAGCAAGAAGAGCCTGTTGAACAAGATGGTGCGCAGGAGCCCGACGCACCAGCTCCGCTATTAAGAAGATCTTCTCGTCCTCCTGTACCCAACAGGAGATACATGAACTATCTGTTGTTGACAGATGGTGGGGAGCCTGAAAGCTTTGATGAAGCTTGTCAGTGTGGAGATGCGAGCAAGTGGGAGCTTGCAATGAAAGATGAGATGAAGTCTCTCATATCAAACCAGACGTGGGAACTAGCTGAGTTGCCCACGGGTAAGAAGGCACTCCACAACAAATGGGTGTACCGGGTGAAAGAGGAGCAAAATGGTTCCAGAAGATATAAGGCCCGGCTAGTTGTCAAAGGTTTCCAGCAGAAGGAAGGAATTGACTACACCGATATTTTCGCTCCCGTGGTGAAGCTAAATACTATCAGGACCGTGATGAGTATTGTAGCAATTGAAGATCTTCATCTCGAGCAGTTAGACGTGAAGACGGCGTTTCTTCACGGAGATCTAGAAGAGGAGATATACATGCACCAGCCAGAAGGTTTCTCAGAAGAAAAGAAGAAGAACCTGGTGTGCAGACTCAAGAAGAGCTTGTATGGCCTGAAACAAGACCCAAGACAGTGGTACAAGAAGTTTGACGGCTTCATGCACAAGAAAGGTTTCCAGAAGTGCAACGCCGACCACTGTTGCTACTTCAAAAATTATCAGTCCAGCTATATCATCCTACTGCTGTATGTTGATGATATGTTGGTTGCAGGAGCAGATATGGAGGATATCAAGAGTTTGAAGCAGCAGCTGTCAAAAGAGTTTGACATGAAGGACTTGGGTCCAGCGAAGAAGATCCTTGGAATGCAAATCACGAGAGATAAGAAGAGAGGTCTCTTGCAGTTATCTCAGACGGAGTACATCAACCGTGTTTTGCAGAGATTTAACATGGGCAACGCCAAGCCTGTGAGCACAACCTTGGCCAGTCATTTTCGTCTATCGAATGATCAGTCTCCTCAGTCAGAAGAAGAGAAAGAGAGTATGGCTCAGGTACCTTACGCCTCAGCTATCGGAAGTTTGATGTACGCAATGGTCTGTACGAGACCAGACATTGGCCATGCAGTGGGAGTGGTCAGCCGGTTTATGTCGAATCCAGGAAAAGCTCATTGGGAAGCGGTCAAGTGGATTCTGAGATATCTACGAGGCACCACACAGAAGTGTTTGCACTTTGGTAAGAGAGAGGTAGAAGTGCAAGGAACGTAGATGCAGACTTCGGTGGCGAAGTTGATCACCGAAGAAGCACCACCGGCTATATATTTACCGTTGAAACTACAGCTGTTAGTTGGATGTCACAGGTACAGAAGATCGTTACCCTATCCACTACGGAAGCTGAGTATGTTGCAGTGACTGAAGCCAGTAAAGAGATGATATGGCTTCAGGGGTTGTTTACAGAGCTGGGATTCAAACAGGAGAAGAATGTTTTGCACAGTGATAGCCAGAGTGCGATACACTTGGCGAAGAATTCAGCATTTCATCAGGGCTTATTGACAGAACTGGGATTCAAACAGGAGAAGAATGTTTTGCACAGTGATAGCCAGAGTGCGATACACTTGGCGAAGAATTCAGCATTTCATTCTAGAACGAAGCATATTGCGCTTCGGTACCACTTCATCAGATCCCTGTTGGAAGATGACGTGTTAAAATTGGAAAAGATTCCAGGAAGTAAGAATCCAGCAGACATGTTAACCAAGACGGTGACAGTTCAGAAACTGGAGTTATGCGCAACTTCAGTTGGCCTTCATGTATAGATGATGAGGGCGGAGCCACACAGGAGAGTG